AAAGTTCAAAGATCTTACCATTTAAGTTTAAATGAATTTTAATTCAAGAAATGAATAAGTAACTGATTGTATCACTATGGTTATCTACATGAATAAGAATTATTTTTGGACTTAAAACTCTTCAAATTGCCACTTAAAGATTCAAATTAACAATGTTTATTATTACATAACTCTCAAACTTAATTTTTCATTAAAAATGAAGGTTATAAAAAGAGGAATGTCACTTTTTTTTCTCTACCTCTACTCAAATTCAAATTTCAATTTTTCTTCATCTCAAATTTATGTTAGTTTTAGATTATTTAGAAGAAGCAGTACTACAAGTTTAATTACTTAGGATAAAAGATTTTTATTTTTATTTTTATTTTTTTTAAATCAAGAACCTAGGTGCAAATTGGTTTTTTCCCTATTGAATGTCTATGTGTATTTTATGTTTTAAATGAAATTGCAAGCTATGAATCATAGAGATTAAAGTTTTATGGCCACAATAATTTTCTATGAGGCCAGGGGATTCTTCAAAATCAACTACATGAAAATATTTAAGGTACGAAGTTTTTAAGTTTTACCAATAAATATGCATATATATTCAAAGGAAAATGCACATATGAAAATTTTACTGGACTTTATACTCAATCCTACTTTATATAATTTTAGATTGAGAAATGATCCTTGATAGATGAAGATTGTATAGAAGCCAAGGGGAGAAAAAACAAATCAAAGACTAAGGTTTTCATGTATAGAATTTATTTTCATATGTTTTAGTGCTAAGGCTAAAATAATGGATTTAAAAAATAATTTGTGTTTGAACTCTATTTAATTTGGGCATGAAATTGGGTTTTTATATAATTCTATAAATTGATATCTAGTAAATTATGTTAGTATAAGTTTTTACCATGAAAATATATATGATTAGGTATGTGGATTTGGACATCTAAAAATGTAAAATTGAAATTTCAGCTTTCTTTCCAATTATCAAATTGCCATCTCGATTCGAATTTTGAATGGGACTAGTGGAGTTTTAAATCCCTAAAAGTCATCTGTCCATTACGATAAGTTATGTCCTTTTTCGCATGTTGTTAGTGTACTCGAGAACAATTTTTTGCATATGTTTGGGCGTGCATTTGAGTGCCTAAATGATGTTAGAAAATTTTTAAATTTTACTATGTTGTACTTGAATAAATTTAGAAAATAATGTAAATATTAATTAAATCCTTAATTTGAAATATGGTCCAACTAAGCTTGATTGTCCAATACAAGGTTGAACTCTGTTAATGTACACTAACTTCCCTTTCCATCCTCCATTTTATTTTCATTAATTTACTCGAATTTCAAAAACCTAAGTAACACATTTTTGTAACAAATTCAAATCCTAAAATTTGAAGTGTTATAGAAACCTCCCGAACATAAAAGTATAGTAAGAACATATTGATGTACAGAATGAAGACATGTAAGAGAGAGAAAAAGAACAAATTGAGAATGAAAAAGAAAAAGAAAAAAAGGAAGTCTGATAGAAGTCTATTAATATAATTCTCGTCATCATTCTATAAATCAATCTCTAGATCATGATGTACAAACAAAATTATTCTCGGAGAAGAGTAATATTATTTGTACATTATAGTTTACAAATTGACATGCCTAATGATAACATGGAGGATAGAGAAAGAGAATAAAAAGGAAGGAAAAAAGGTCAAGTACAAGTCTGTTAATGTGATCC